TCAACCAGCAACGGCTGCCGGCTTGGCAGCCCATCCTTACGGCTGGCACGGTGCTACCTACTTTCTTCATCATCGGCCTCATCTTCATTCCCATTGGCATCGGCATCTTCGTCACCTCCAACAACATCCGCGAGATCGAGGTGAGGGGAGGGACGGCGGTGGGAGTTGGCGTTGCCGGGAGCGAAGTCTCCTGCGCCGGCCCGGCCAGTTCCCAGCTCCCTGGAGGTGACAGGCGGGCCCCGCCCTCCCCCTGCCTCTGTTTCTTCTTACTGCGGGTTTCCTGAATTGGCAGTTTTCTCCTACCTTCCTCTGCTTGCGATTTCCAGAGATGGAAGGCGTGTTTAAGGCGGAGATGGGTCAGGTGAAGAACGCTTCTTGGGCGGTTTGTGAGTTCCCGTGGGGATTGCGTTTGCTCAACGAGGTGAAGTGGCGATGAAGAAGTTATATCTAGGTGTAACTGGGAGGGAATTGACAGGGCCAGAGAGTGATTATCCCAGGACGCAGACGTTGTATCTTGGCCATTGTTGAAAAAGGATCCAGAGCCGTAGACGTATTGATTCTTATGTAAAGAAGTCAAGTCTTGTTACTAGGTCACGAATTGGGAACTAGGCACAGTAGCTTTCATTTTGAGCTAATAGATGTTTTTAATTGTAGAGCATAATACAGGTAAAAGTTAATCCGAAACTCCAATTTTGATTTTCCTTTTAAACTGCATTTATTAACAGTTTCACCCTACCTTACATCCTAGTTCTCTTTCTCCTAGATTTTAAACTTTACAAGAAGAACAAATGATTCCACACAGGGAATAAGCTGTGCACTGTCTACCAAACATTTTACTGATAATAATTTTACTGAACATTTTACTTATACTTTACTTACCTGGCCAAAGCATTTAAATTCTGTCAGAGCAGCACAGTATCTTTAATTATCTGCAGTGATGAAGATGGACTGATGGAATGTAAATACTGTGTAAGTGTCCAATTATTCCTTCTTATCTGAAGGCTTTTTTTTAATTTTCTTTCCTGTTTGAAAGGATAGGAACTGGTACCAAGGTCCCTTGATTTCTTCAGTTC